AGGATGCCCTCGTTCGAAAGCTTTGATGGGACCAAAGATCCCCTCGATCACCTGGAAACTTTTCAAGGTCTTATGCATTTACACGCTGCGCCAGATGAAATCATGTGCCGAGCTTTTCCCACTACACTTAAGGGATCAGCGAGAGTTTAGTTCAACAAGTTGAAGCCAGGAACCATCAACACCTTCGAAGAATTGAGTAAGCAGTTTGTGAGCCACTTCATTGCAGGTTAGAGACATAGGAGGCCGGCTACCTACCTATTTACCGTGGAGCAACAAAAGGAAGAGTCGATCCGGGAATACATCACCCGATTCAACGCAGAGATGTTGCAGGTAGAAGAGGCGGACGACAAGGTAGCTTTGACCGCTTTCATAGGAGGACTCCAAACCTCCAGATTCTTGTTCTCCTTATCAAAAGAACCTCCCACCAGCATGATGGAGTTGCTGGTCAGAGCGCAAAAATACATCAACGCTGAAGACACCATGAGTGCACGGAAGGAAGGAGAGGACAAGAAAAGGCCAGCCCCTCTTGCCAGGGATGAAAATAATATCAAATATAAGAAATCGTTCTTCAGCCAGAGTGACAGCACATATCATAAGAATGACTCAGATGAGTATACCGACTAGAAATTGTCTCGCGGCTAGAATTAGCCTTATCAAGTCATTCACAATAAAGATTGGGGGCATCTTAGTTAATCATTTTAAATGGAAGGTAGCTCCATCACGTGTTATTTAGTTTTTAATAATGATGGTCTTTAATAAAATTCCTTTTAGTTTATACGTGCAGTATTCCCGTACTATAAGGGATAGTAAATGAATGTCCTGTATTAGAAGGACCCGGGCTGAATGAATCCCGTAATCCGTATCCCCGTACTATAAGGGAATAGTAAATGAGTGTCCTGTATTACAAGGACCCGGGCTGAATGAATCCCGTCATCCATATCCCTGGACTATAGGGGATAAGTATCTTGTATTATCAGGACCCGAGTTGAATGAATCCCGTAATCCATATTCTTGTAATATAAGGGATAATAAATGAATGTCCTGTACTACAAGGACTTGGGTTGGATGAATTCCATAATTAATATCCCCTTACAATAAGGGATAGTAAATAAAAATCCTTTATTAAAGAGGTGAGCTGAGTAAAACTCGTAAAGTTCAATTCATTTACTAAAGAGACGAGCTGAGTAAAACTCGTAAAATTCAATTCCCTTATTAAGGAGTGAAACTCGTCTAATTTATTCCCTTATAAAAGGAAGAGTACTGTTTCCTCGGGTGCAAAAAAAAAAAAAAAAAAAATATTACTATTCATGAAAAGTACCCGAGGGTACTGTTCCCTCGGGTGAAAAAAAAAAAAAAACAAAAAGAAAAAAAACAAATATTCAGGAACAGTACTCGCGGGTACTATTCCCTTGGGTGAAAAAAAAAAAAAACCCTGAGTTACTATTCACATGAAAAGTGCCCGTGGGAATAGTACCCGCGGGTACTGTTCACAGGGGTATTAAAAAAAAAAAAAAAATCCCTGAGTTACTATTTACGTGAATAGTACCCGCGGGTACTGTTCACCGAGGTTGAAAAAAAAAAGAAAAAAAAAAAAAGAAAAGAAAAAGTATTATTATTATTATTTATTACATTCCCAAACTAGACGTGCAAACTTGGGAATGGGAAGCAACTGATAGGGAAAAATATAAACCTACTCTACCCTCGATAAGATTGATTAGATTTCATTATTAAGGATAATGAAATCAAATCTGACGTGGTTCAACAAGTAAGAATAATCCTACTATAATTGAAGGAGGTCAAACGGATTAAATCATATCCCAATAAATCTGGTAATAAATCTCCTATGATTTCGTACAAGCGGAAGATAAGGTCAACCATCGACATCAGCGGAACGATTTTGATTCCAATCGACAGCCATAAATAGGGCATCAAGCCATTAAAGAAGGTACGACGTAAAAACTATTATTAATCCCTGTCTTCTTTTTAGACCTCCGTGACTAATATGATCTTCGGAGAGCTCTTGGCTGGCACCACACCGGTGCCGTTAAGGTTTATCGATCTTCTCTTCTCTTCCTTGTAGGAAAACGGTATCGTATCGGACTGCGCGAATTTCAGCCTTAACAATTGCCATTCAAGAAAACAAAATTATGTTTCTGCTTTCTTGAAATTAGAAAAACAGAAAACGTTAGTAACGCTCCCTAAATCTAGAATTGAGTTAAGGGTATCTTAGGTTGAAAAAAGTCTCATAAATCAAAAAAATTTTGGGCAGGTGATATTGGGGCTCTAACAAACTCCTCTTGCACTCAACTCTTTAATTTCGTAAATGAAATGACTAACTACCTTCTTATTTTCTGATTCAATTATAAAAACTATTTCTCTTGTTATGTAATCTTCTCTTTCCTTATCCTCATATTATCCACGAGATATCTTTAAATACTAGTATTTCATTACTCGTAAAAATTCAGATAACAAGTCAAAATAGATCATCAAATATCATTCTTTCAATTTGTAAACCATCACCTTGTAAATTTACAAACCTTTAATTTGCATAGATTAAATGGCAGATGATCACTGATAGTGAATTTGATTGTGGCTCAATCAGGAATTTTTATTAAATTTAAACTTCAATCAGGAATTTTGATTGAATTATTAATTTAATTTTTTCTCCGCTTGCAATAAGCAGCACTATTCTTGGTACTAGAATGCTATGGGTCTTTGTATTGTATTTATTCTCAGTTCATTATATACTACGTGTAATGCAGTTTTAAGATTCGAAACATTGCTTCATCTGTATGTGAATCCCGTATTTGGGTGCTTTAAAAAATTTAATTGAAGGTATTTATGTGCAGGGGCGGAGCTAGTGTATCCTGGCCGTGCTTACTAAAATATATATACTAAATATATATTTTTAAATGTATATATGAAAAAATTCATATAATGCCATCCTAAAATTTTTATTTTCTAAATTTATATCTTAAATTTTGTATTTCTTCTCTTTTTACTATTTAAATTCGTTTAATTTCCTTTAAATAAAAGTCTAATTTTCCTTTTTGAATCAAACTCAATTCTCTCATTTTTCTTTCCTTTTTTAATTTTTTATTGACATATTATTTTGAGTAATTTTTCTTCTTTCTTTCTTGATTTATACAGTCTATATTTATTATCGTGATTATTACTAAAGAGCCGTAAGACATTGTTTGGCTAACACAAACGTGCCTTAAAAGGTTTTTTTGGGCAAAAAAAAAAAATTTAAAAAGGTAAAAATTTTATTAAATTTTTTTTTTCTTGCACACCCAATTACATTATAGCAGTGTTTTAACCAAACTATGACTTAATGACTATATTGGCGAAACAAATATATATTTTTAAATTTTTTTTCTTAACAAAATGAAATTCATTTTTAAAAAATAAATAATATAATCGTTACGAAAAAGTTAATATAGCCGTTAGATGAAAGTTAAAAAAAAAAAAAAAAAAAAAAAAAAAAATTTATTAAATTTTTTGAGAGCAAAATCGTACCATTGGAATACATGTAATAACTAAAATTTAAATAATTCAAAACACTGACGTGGTTCTTAAAGATGGTGACCTGAAATTGCTAAATCGACAAAATTTGACAAAAATAGAGTTTGCTTAAAAAAAACCAAATTTTTGAGAGAGAAGGGAGAGAATGTGAAAAATTGAACAAGAGGAAGAGAGACAGAACATAGGTGTTTGTATTGTAAAAGGAGGTAGAAAGATAGTGTCAGATCCCTTAATGGAGATGATGAGGTGATAAAATGAAAGGACATGTGTTGATGAAGTGAAAAGCCATCAATAAAGAAAAGTTGATAGGCAAACGAACATTGGTTGGGATTATAAATGACGTAACATGTATCGACCACTTAATAATTTATGTTGAAGAAGGCAAGGCTTTGGGCTAGAACTAGACCTATTAATAGAGTGATTCCTGATCCGAATTCGATCCTATTAGTCGAATATGGATTGAACGAAAAATTCGATAATTCGATTACGATCCGAATCTGATAATCTATTAGCTTAACAAATCGGATATAGATTATACTCATCTGATCCGATTAAAATTATATATATATAATATTAATAATTATATATATTACCAACGGGTTAGTAGTCTAGTGCGTCATACATTTCATATACGTGTCTATAAATAAAAATAAATTACTTTTATTTTGGATACTTTTCCTACATTTGGACACTTTGTGGACACAACACATTCTAAAATGTTCTTTTTTTCTTGAAAAAAAATTGACATTATACACATATAATCATCATGAGCGAAGCACTAATAATATTTGTTTAGTTAAAATAAAAACATTATTATGATAAAGTAGTAGAATAACTATATATATATATATATATATATATATATATATATATATATATATATAAATTCATATTTATGTATAGCCGTGTTCGAAGCGTACCCTTGTTTCCTTTTTTAAAAGACTTATTCCTATCTTGTCGTATCGTGTCCATATCCATGCTAAGGAGAAATTGTCAAACTAAATTAACCCGAAAGAGAACGAGGAGGATAAAAATCCTCTCCTTGTTTTTATTAGTTCATTTTTAATACTGTATTTATTAGCATTTGTTAGGAAATTAAGTTGAAATTTTGTGACATGGTATTCTACGAGACCAAATGGAGTTTCAAAGTGGTTATTTTCTTGAATTTTTTGAGTAAAAATATTATATAATTTTTTTAAAAAAATTAATATTTTGAAATAAGGGCGTGAAGAGCATAAAGGTAAATCCCTTTTTAATTTAGAGCTCTTAAAAAAAAAAAAAAAAAAAAAAAAAAAAAACTCCTAATTAAGCGCACTACTTTACCAAATGCGTCGGAGTGGGTCGGAGTGGGACTGAGCTTAGCTGAAAGGGCTTCTGGATACCTTTTCTTTCCTCCTCTCTGTATCTGATTTCATCTCTCACACACACTTCTCAGTGGAAACGGAAAGAGAGAGAAGCAATCGGTGGCTGCGTCCATGTCGGAGCTTCCTGAGGATGAGGATGCGTTTGACGACATTCTCTCCCGACTACCGGTGAAAGATCTGCTACGTTTCAGGTGCGTTTCCAAACGATGGTGTGCCCTAATTGACTCGCCTAGGTTCATCAAATTGCAACTCAATCGATCAATTGAAACTGGAACCAATTTGAGTCTGATTGTTAGAGATGATAGTTTATATTCAATAGACTTAGATGTGCTTGATGATATCTTCAACCTTGGTGGTGGTATTAGTAGTTTTCCACTTTTAGATGTTGCAGAATTCGATAACCCCATCGAATCTGAGTCCTATTGGACTTATGTAGAAGGAGGTTCGTGCAATGGTTTGGTCTGTTTGCGTCGTTTCTTAGATGAAGCCATTGCCGTGTTAAATCCTTCAACTAAGGAGTACAAAATTTTACCAGTGACACCCCTCAGCGGCGGTTTCTTCACATTTCTTGGAATTGTGTATGATTCTGCTGGTGATGATTACATGGTGGTTACGATTTTGGAGTTCTGGGAGGATCCCGATTCACTTCCCGCTGAAGTAATGGTTTTTAGTTTAAAATCGAATATGTGGAGGAGGATTGAGAGCTTCGATTATAACCTTTACTGGCAATGGGATAGTCCCAGAAGTCGTAGTGTGCTCGTGGATGGTGCTTTGCATTGGTTAGCTTGTCCAGATTCGTCTGAATTGTTGTAAATTGTTGTTTCTTTTGATCTCGTGAATGAGGAACACCGGCAAGTGCAGTTGCCACAAGTTTCTGATTGTACTAATGAGACCTTGGGGTTTTTAGGTGGATGTTGGTGCGTATTTTACACTATCAATTTAGAAGATCCTGTTGAATTATGGGTCATGAATGATTATATGGTGGAGTCCTCATGGACAAAACTCTTCAGGGTTACGTTGCGGAATTTCAAATACAGCGAGAAGCATAACCCGCAGTATGCAAGTGTTTTGGCTTATTCTAAGAGCAGCAGGGAAATTATCTTATTGCATTTGTTTGGTACTTTAATTTGGTATGACCTGAAAAAGAAAAGGGTCTTGGATCTCGGCCTTAGTTCATTTGGTGCGGATGTTAATGTGGAAAGCCTTGTGAAGCTCAATCATTATCAATGAAATGGCATTCTATAATTGTTGTTAGAATGTCTGGTTTTTGGGGAGCTCTTAAGTTTCTACCAAAGCAAGATTCTATTTTGGCGATCATGAAGGATATTGGGTATTCTTGTAAATTATGTTTGTTTTGTGTTGTTATGTGAAATATGTTTCAACCTTGTGATCATGATCGGCAAATTATGATATTTTCACTAGACTTGCACCTTTTGGCTTTGCTAACTCCTATTAGAAAAAACTTCGAATGGAATAGTGGAATGACAATGCTTATTTTGTTAACAGATAAGACTGCAGAAATAATGGCCATGTCTTCGAAGTGGATTCTTGTACTTGGGAACAAAGCACTGATTCACCTTTGTTGTGCTGATATCAATTACAGAAAGAATTAGGGCCTGTTTGGTGGATGCTCTATCTTGTTTTATGCCCTTCCCTACGGTGCAAATGGATACTATTGAGGACACCAACTTGTTTGGCATGGGCTGTATTGTGTCCAACAGTGCAAGAACAATTTCTGATTTTGGGCCAATTTTCGGAACAAAAAATTCGTGTCCCAAAGTGTTCCCAAATTTCAGCCGGCCCACTATTCACTGTAGAAAGGAGAACAACAGCCCAAAGTGCAGGAATTCTGAGAACACATATTTAAGAATCGGTGGAACATTGCCCTAATTGTGAACTTGCCTCCATCTCTATTCTCGTTCTCAACTGTGAACTTGCCTTAATTTCTGAAAAAACACTCTGACTTGCCCTCTCTCTCTCTCCAACTGCAAGCTACAAAATCAAAATCTACAAGAATCAAAAGTTCGAAATCCACCTCCATCTCTATTCTCGTTCTCAATTCTGAAGTTGCCCCCTCTCTCTCTGCAACTGCAAATTACAAAATCTAGCAGATCTGTGAACTTGCCCCCTTCTCTCTCTTTCAAGAACTATCTCACCTTTGCGTTTTCCGGTGAACCCCACCTCTGCGTTTTCCGGCGAACCCAAAGCTTCGGTGCGTAGATCTGTCACTCCGGCGAGCTCTTGTACGCTCTCGTCTGCCGATTCCGACAAACCCACATCTGCATTTTTTTAACTGAATTTTTGTTTGATCCAAATTCTCAAATCTCTTGCAATTTCTTCACCTGCTTTATATATATATATATATAGGGGAAAAATCACATAATGATAAGCGCCGAATATTATATATTCAAGCGCCCTAAATTGCATTAGTAAAGTCCGTTGTATGTTAATTTATGTAGATTATCTTCATTTCTATGTTTTTATGCATTTTCAGGTTCATTGACCAAAATGGAACAAGAATAAGGCCTTGTGGAATCCTGAGCAACAAAAGGTGCCAATGCTGAATTCTGGCAGCAGTAGAGCCTGGACTTTGCTTGCCATTTTGACCTTCCAAACTCGAGAACTGGACTTCCCTCATAACATGAAAGATTTAGAGCTCTGAATCAGCTTTCCAAATCTTCAAGTGGTTCATTATTCGGAGTTCGGAGCAGAGAGTTATGATCTTCACAACAGAGGTGCGCAGAACTGCCTAGCAGCACTGATGTACTGCCTTTCTCCCCATTTTCGACCACCCAGACTTGAGAATTGGGTCTTCATCAAAACATGAAGTTTTTAAAGCACTGAATCAGCTCTCCAAAGCTTCAAACAGATCGTCATTCGGAGTTCGGGGCACAAAGTTATAGCAGTTTTCCCAAAATAGGTCAGCACTGAGCAAGAGGAGCATGTTGCACATTGCACTAAGTTAGAATGCTCGAAGTCACCAAGCGTGTGCTCGAAAATCAGGCAGAATGCCCTTCGGAAATGGCTCATTTCAGCCCACTTGCACATTGGTTTCCCCAATGCCATCTCCCTTCTTTATGAAGTGGTTGGAGGTGTTCCTTGGAGGAGAGAGGGTATTGTTGAAGCATAAAAGGCTTCCCAAAGGCCACATATATGATTAAGCTTTATCTTGAGCAAGAGAAAGGAGAGAGAAGAGAGCAAGGAGAGGGTGTTCTTGAGTGCTACAGTAGGAGCTCGAAAATGGAGATGAGGATGATGCTTCTTCCTTCTTCTAGTTCACCAATGGGTAACTAAACCTCATCTAGGGAGGTGATGAAACCCCTCCCTTGTAAGCATGTGTTAGTATAGTTTATTTTTGGGGATTACAATGTATTTTTGATAGTCTTTCCATGGTCAAGAGCCTCATTTTTGTTGTAATGAATGTTGAATGTTTTAAATGATTATTGTGAGTTATTCATCTTGTCTTGGATGGTTGCTTTTCTTAATCATATTGCTTGCACTTCCATGGTGACAATGGAAGTTAGATCATGGAATGGTTTTAATGGCATGGAGTTGGAGAACCTAGATAGTTCATGGCTTAGGGTTTCCCTTTGATGGGCTATACTTGATTATTAGCTTTATGTGCATTCACCATTTAAATTAGGGCTTGATAATCCTTGGCTTAGTAAGCATGTCCTAAGCTACATTTTAGTTTGGGTAGTTGATCATGTGAACCTTTGATGGTTTATTCTTGCCTTTCTAATTAAATGAACTTCTTAAGGATATTATAGCAACCTAGTATTGTTATGTATCATGACTATCATATATGTTGTTTTCCCCTTAAATTAATCTTAACCTAGCATGTGTATAGGGATGGAGGTGGATTCATTTCCCTAGCCTTCTTTACTTGTACTCACTCCCTTGAATTCTTGCAATTTACTGTTTTATGCACTTTTAATTTCCTAGCTTAAGTGACATCCAACAAAACCTCTATACACCCTTCATCATTCTAAGAATGATTCTAGACATTTAGGTTGTATTAGACTAGCGTAGTCCCTGTGGTTCGACTTACTCGACCAATAGCCCTATTTTACAATGATTCGTGCTATTGCGAAGGTTGATGTTAATTGACCAACCGATCAATTTTTGGCGCCGTTGCCGGGGACTGCAAACGGTTTAGCAACCGAAGTTTCTAGGGTTAAATTTAGTTTGATTGTGAATATTGTGTCTTGTGAATATTCCTTGTGTGTTTTGACCACCTTTGTGTTTTAAGTGTTGTAAGATTCTAGGGACTCGAAGCTCGCCGTGGGAATGCTAGCAAATTGTAAGTCTAGAGGACCCCAGGTAAGTCTCGTGACTTCTAGTTTCGAGTTGTGAATATTGTGCATGTGTTAAATTTAGTTTTAGTTTAGTTGTGAAGCCCTTGTTGAGGCTCTTATCCTGTTTAAATTTTGTGTTAAAGCATCGGTCCTTGTCGTGGCCATTTACATTTTCCGTCTTAATAATTGAGGAGAAAGGGAACATCGTATGTGGAGTTGTGGTTGATGAATTGCTTTGTTGAGTATATGCTTTATTGTTGATGTTCGGTCGTAGGTCACTTTCCTTACCCACAATCGATTCGCCCATTGATATCAATTCTCTTGAAAGAACTCTTAGACGGAACCTTAGGGAACCCACTCTTACAAGGGACCTTGAAACTGAATTCAATATAATGGGGGATAACGTAGGAAATCCGGGGAATGAAAGGGCTGAAATTCCTAATATCGAGCCAATGACTCTTAGAGATCATTTCATCCCTACCACCTATGCTTCTCCATCTTGCATAGCGATGCCAAACATCGATGCAGCTCAATATGAGATCAAGTCTAGTACCATTCAAATGCTTCCATCATTTCATGGCTTTGATAATGAAGATCCATACAAGCATCTTGATGAGTTCCTTGAAATCTGTTCAACCATCCGGTTGAGAGGTTTTCCGGACAATGCACTTCATCTCCATCTCTTCCCATTCTCCCTAAAGGATAGGGCAAAATATTGGTTGAACTCCCTCGCTCCCAACTCTATTACTTCTTGGGCTCAATTGCAACAAGAATTTCTTAGGAAGTATTATCCGGTGAGTAAAACCAACCAAATGAGGCGTTCCATTCTAAGCTTTTCTCAAGTTGATGGAGAACAACTCCACGAGACTTGGGAAAGGTTACAAGATCTTCTTCGGAAGTGTCCTCATCATTTGATCCCAAAATGGCAATTAGTGCAAGCTTTCTATGCCGGCTTGACCGAAACCCATAGATTCATGGTTGATTCTTCTTGTGGTGGGATGTTCATGTCCAAGAATGCGGATGAGGCTTGGACCTTACTTGAGAATTTGAGTGAAAATTCACTTCAACACAATTCTCGTAGGGCTCCGACCGCAACCACTCCAAACAACACCAACCCTTGTCAACCAAAGTCAATAAGGGAGGAATCATCTCAAGTGGATGCCATCGCTCATAAATTCTATCAATTGATGGCACCACATCTTCCTCCTTCATTGTCTCAAAATTCGGCAAGTTCAGTTTGTGCTTCATGTACTAGTCCATTCCATCTCTCGGAAGATTGCCCCACATCGGAGCAATTTCCTAGTCCCAACCAAGAGCAAGCTAATGCCATGTTCTCGCGGCCCGGGAACAATCCATATTCCAACACCTACAATCCGGGTTGGCGTGATCATCCGAATTTCTCATGGCGGCAACAAGCCCCACAGAATTCCCAATTCCAAAACCAAGGGCGGCAAAATCAGCCCTCTTCTCAATATCAAGGTAGACCTTTCCAAGCCTCTTCAAGCTACCGTCCTC